TCGATCCGCTCGATATATCCGCTCGATATATCCGTTCGATAGAGACTCTACGGGTGGGTGTCTGAAAATATTTAACGAAGATGTGGAATAAACATTAAATTCAACTGAAATGACATGCAATAGTTGTATGCGTTTTAACCCATAAGTAAGATGCACCGTCATTGAATTTTTAGTCGCAGATCTGGCTGACATAGCCTAAATGTGCATATAGAGAGTGGACACCATATGTCGACCAGTATTGACCGGCGTTTGCCACTAATTGGCATCTGGGATCCGTTTTTTATTGAACATTTTAGCGTCCGAAACCGAAACCGAAAATTTCAACCGAAACTAATTCGACATGCTTCGTGGTAACTGGATGAATGTGTTTAATTATTGTACACATATAAATTTCGTCAAATTACATGCTTAGCATGTCTTTCATTGCGCGAGCACCAAACCATCTCAGAGTTCTACATGAAAGAACTTGGTTTTGCATGACTGTGTCCAAGGCTACATAGTCTATGCCAAGTTTTTAAAAGAAATGTCAAACAGCACGCGGAGAGCCTGAAAATGGACTTTAATGAACTCCGAAACAAAATCAGTGAACTTCGGAATATTGTGTGTGCTTGGATTTAAGTCTCAACCAAAACAAAATTAGAAACGGGCTTCAAAATGGTTACGGCAAACTCCAAACATTTTTTTGAAGTGTCAGGGATTCATATAAGCTCGTTATGAGATAGCGTCAATTAATTCAATAGTTATCCGTAATATTTCCGTTGCTGGCCCGGCCTACTATGCATACATGATTGGTTATATGGTGCTGACACACAGCCGTCAGCTGATCACGTTCTGGTTCTCTCCTGATGACTGGTTGGTTCCCTCCCGCTAGTTCTCTGGTTCTCCCCCGATGGACTTACACGCTTAAGAGCCGGACCAGAGGCCACTACGGCTCGCTCTGTACCGCGGCGGCAAGGCTCAGCGGTGACGTCACGACGACGTCCGCCAATCTGGTCGGTTCTCTGGCGTCCTCGATGGGCATCGTTGCCATGACGACGACGCCGCGGCGTATGTGGTGCATAAGTGGTTGAGCGGAATTGGGCGTCGGCGCTGGCGCACACGAGCGACGCTTTGAGGCATTGCTGAGTCTCTGTTCCTGTCTTGTAGCTTTCCTCAACCTCTGGTCCAGTCCCTATTTCTAGATCTGTCTCGGTCCCTAGCTGTGTTGGCTGACCCTGTTTCGGCCCCAGCGTTGACTCTGCCTCTGTTCTTTGGGACCAGCGCTGTTCGTGGACCCGAGATCTGACTTATCGTGGTATGTGTGCTGCTGTTGCGTCCCTGACCCTTTCACGAATTGTCGTGCCGCTGGATCGTTTCTCTTGCCGACTCGGTCTCCACCCCAGACTGGCCACTGGTTTGAGTGGATCGAACGTCCTATCTATTTATTCATTTAGTTGACATCAGCTGACACTCAGCCTACGTGAGTGACTTTCACTTCTGATTAGTCTGTGAGGTAAAACAGCATGTCGGTAACAACGGAAAGTGATGAGGGGTAAAACAAAACACATGTGGGCATGCGCACATAAACGGCATGAGAAGGCTCTAAAGAACGCTTCTAACGCTCTTGTAGGGGTGTCACCACTTTGTGTAGGGATGTGACCCCCGAAGCCTTGTTTGGCCCCCGTGCAGCAGCAATGATCACGGTAGTTGAAAGAGGGTTCCGTGGTGGTTAGACTTAGCGTTTGAGAACAGTGGCTACTGGTCGGATTGCCGCGGTGCTGCACTTCTTGCCAGGGTGCCGGACAGATGACGTCGTGCAACCCCAGGTGCTGATTTTGTCGTTAACTCCCAAACGGCAACTGTCGCTTCGAGGCGGTGTCATGTCATGTCCCTGCTTTGTCTCCTCCACCACCTCAAGGGTGCACACGGGAACGCTAAGCATCGGGCGCCGCTAACGGCCAAATGTCAGCGACCCTTCGCTCTCACGTGACAGCGTGCCGCATCACACGTCTTTTGAAACTAACAAGCAGTTTTGATTGAAGTACATGCTATGGGCGCTATATGACCGCGCAGACGTTCCGACTGCGAAAGTCCCAGTGCCAGAGACGGCGCCGTCACCGGTGCTCTCGAGCCTTCAGTGTATGACAGGGGCGGCGCCATGGAATTTGAGTGCGGGGGGGGGGAAGGGCAGGATTTTCCGAGGGTCCTAGCTAAAATGGGCCCTGCTCACCCCTAGGGGGCCTCCTAGGCAGTGTCGTGTTCAAGGGGAGGGATGTTGAGGGCATGCGCTCTCTTACCAAATTGTTACATGCATCATATCCAACAAAATTAATGTCGACAATTTAAGAATCCAGAATGGGGCCTTCTGGCTGTTCAACAAAGGGCCTCGCTCCCCTAAACAGGGCTACCTGTTCCAGAAAAGTCTCCTATGCATATATAGGCCTCCTTATCCAGAACAGGACGCTCTTCCGATTCACAAAGGGGCCTCCAAATCTAGCCAAAGGGCCTCGTTTTCCAAAAACTGACAACATTTTGCTGAAAGCACAACTCAAAACATCTTGATCCGGAACCATGGCCACCCGATGCATGAAAAGGCCTCCCTGGTCCAGAAATTGAACCTCCTGAATACGGAGGGTGTTTCTTACTCAGAACAGAAACCTCCTGGATCGCAAAGGACCCTATCGAGCCTGCAAAGGACATTCCTTAACATAAGATGTAGCGTACTTATCTAGTGCAGGAGCAACCTCATTCATAAAGGCGGCCTCATGATCCAGAAAACGGCCCCTTGATGTACAGAAACGTCGCCTTAGTCCGATTGATTACTCTAGCTCAGTCATGAAGGGCCCTCCTTCACCTGAACATTGGTAATCTACGGGTAGCTACAATGCCTGCTAGTTTGGGAAAAAGAGGTGCCCCCAAAATTTTGAGCGGGAAAAACATACTCTTACCCCTCTGCCCCCCCCCCCCCCCCCCCGCCTGCTGTGCCGCCCCTGGTATCGGCCTCAGCGCCGCCGTACGCTGCCGACGACCTGGACTTCCGCTCACCTGATCACCAGCCAATCTTGTCAGGGGCTCAGCGTTATCACCATCCGCTGGGAGTCGCTCATCCCATCCGACCCCGGGTCACGCACTGCCGACGGCTGAACGCGACAGGCGATGCCGCCGGGCGTGCCGGGAGCGACAGGCGATGCCGCCGGCCATGGCGCGCGCGGCCGGGCGCTCGGTGTGCGGGGGGTGGGGGCAGACAGCGCCATTGTCCAGCTGAGAGCCGGCCTCCTCACGGCGCCACGTCAGGGAGCAGCGGGAACGCATGTCCGCGCGGGGGGGGGGGTGGGGGGTGGGGGAGGCTGACAGCGATCATGTAGTCCCCGTCAGGGTGAAGGAAAAACATGCGTGGGCGGTTGTCACGCTTCGGGATGAGTTTCCCGGAAATCGATGCGTTAGTGGACTGACAGCGTTGCCGGAGGGTACAGGCGCATGTTGCGTTCTGCATGCGGTCTTGACCACCTTGTCGGATGGCGGATGATGTCTGTCTTCACGGAAGTTGGTTCGGTTAGCAATAAGCAAAACGTATGGACGGGGATGCCCGTGTGCCGTCTGCTGGCTTTGGTCGGCGTGCCTGTTGGAAAACAGCCGCCGGTTTGTGAGACGGTCCTGCCAAAAGTGGAGTAAGTGATGTCAAAAATCCTGGGCACGTGAAATGAACGAGGTGAGCTTGCGAGCATGCCTGGCGGCACATGTTGAGAGTGCCGCCAAGGTGCTCTGGCGGCCCAACGCAAGTGCGGGTTGAATGCCGTTTTCATGTAATGTATCGGTCATTCGATGGTCATGAAAACTTGCGGCGTGGCATTTCATTTTTCTTAAGAAGTACATCCCGCGTGTTTTAAACCCAATGCGTAACCTCCAACTGCAACATAACGTGTTTTAAGTTGCAAGGAAGCCCAGTTAAAATTTATGTTTATAACCTATGTTTTACCAACAGTGACAGGTGTATATTTTTCGCGTAACACTAGGGCATTGGGGCGACATTGGGGCATTCGAATGTGAATTCATTGGTAAAATATGATCACTATATATGAGCAAGAAAGGCCCTCAGCTTCTGGTTTTTCCGCATCGTAATTTTAGAGTTATGCCGTGTTATCGATCCTCAATTTACTATGTGGCGCTGGTTAAACGACGTTTTAGAGCAAACATTGGTTATATTGACAGCACTCGACACTCAAAGCCGTGTTTATGGTGTCGAGTGAGTGTGGTAGCACTCGTAACCTTAAACGTAGTTTGAAACGTCGACCATGGCGATTATTTGTTATGGAGTTAAATGAAATGCTGAAACGGTGGTTCAGCTTTAACTGAATCGGTAATTTTATTCTGCCGTCTCGACGAAAGAGGTAACAGCGGAGCAGTAGGTTGGGGTGTCTCATAGTTTAGGTGAGGCTGGGTATACAGCGTTTTGAATGTGGCGTGAGGACTGTGGATGTTGTATGTAAATAGACTGAAAATTAAACTTCGCATCTCACCAACGAATTTAAAAAAATTAATCGCGGTGCCAGCATTCGTGTTAAGGTCACGCACTTCTCACATCGCGTTCTGAGTCTGTTTTGCTGCGTTGTGACAAAGTTATTTTCACATCCTTTTGTCGTAGCGCACACAACGCATCCCACTGCAGACGAACCCGCGCGCGGCGGCCTCGCGTCGCCGGGGGGGGGGGGGGGAGGAGAGGGGGCAGTCACGCCGCGACCCGCGTGGCGACATCGATGGCCGCGCTCGGTCGACACACGGACGTGATCAGTACACACCACTATGCCTGCCAAACATGCGTTGTTGTTTGTATTGTTTTGTGCGCAGTTACCTATGAGGCATCGCATAGCGTCCGCTTGGTTCCTGTTGTTTCAGCTATCGGCAGGGCATTTTAAGGGTGTGTTTTAGTTTTTGGTTAGTTATTAACTTGTTCTTATTATCAGTACGTCTGGTCGCATTTATTTCATATCTTACCGTTATTATTGCCTTTATCTGGGTCGCAGGCGCCAGCAACATATCAACCAGCACGAGCAGCTTCGAAGCGGGTGTCCAGCACGACCCGAATCTCAACCGACTGGCGATCAACATGTTTACCAAGACGGAGCAGTACCTGCAGGGCGAGCTAGATTCCGTCACGGTGAGACACGCCACGCGCAGCGGCGCGGGCAGGGCAGCCAGCTGGGCTTGCAACCGCGAGGCTGCGGGCTCGAGTCTGCCCACCGGCGCTGCGATTCGACGCCGGTCTGTGCAAAGGTCTTTCGCCGTACGGTTTTACGTAGTGACTTAGACGTGGGTGAAAGCAGTGTCAGGTGGTGGTGGGAATGCCTTGTCGCGCGTAAAACCGAGATCGGTTTCCGTTGACAGAGACCGGCGGTGAAATGGCCCACGTTGGTGGGGGCAGGGCACCGCGGAGGTCACTCGACCCCCCCCCCCCCTCACAGGTACCACCTGCTGGCGGAATGCTGGATTGCGTCATGGCGAGTACCAGTTGCTAATGTTCTATTCATGGCAGGGCTAGTACCAATTGCTCATGTTCTGCCGTATCGTGGCAGGGTGAGTACCAGCCGCTGATGTTCTGCCGTATCGTGACAGGGCGAGTACCAACTGCTCATGTCCTGTCGTATCGTGACAGGGCGAGTACCAGCTGCTGATGTTCTGCCGTATCGTGACAGGGCGAGCACCAGCTGCTGACGTTCCGTCGTATCGTGACAGGGCGAGTACCAGCTGCTGACGTTCCGCCGTATCGTGACAGGGCGAGCACCAGCTGCTGATGTTCTGCCGTATCGTGACAGGGCGAGCACCAGCTGCTGATGTTCCACCGTATCGTGACAGGGCGAGCACCAGCTGCTGACGTTCCGTCGTATCGTGACAGGGCGAGTACCAGCTGCTGACGTTCTGCCGTATCGTGACAGGGCGAGCACCAGCCGCTGATGTTCTACCGTATCGTGACAGGGCGAGTACCAGCCGCTGATGTTCTACCGTATCGTGACAGGGCGAGTACCAGCTGCTGATGTTCTACCGTATCGTGACAGGGCGAGTACCAGCCGCTGATGTTCTACCGTATCGTGACAGGGCGAGTACCAGCCGCTGATGTTCTACCGTATCGTGACAGGGCGAGTACCAGCTGCTGACGTTCTGCCGTATCGTGACAGGGCGAGTACCAGCTGCTGACTGAGATGAACCGACGCACTCATGCCAAGTACGAGGAGATGAAGGCATGTGGGCCAGGAGACTCATTCCGCTATCGAGCAACTCAACACCAAGTATACCGAGCTCGAGCCATACCTCAGGTAAGCAGAAAAACGCTGGCGGGACTGGAGGACGCTCAGGGGAGCTGGAGAACGCCGCCGGGACTGAGAACGCTCAGAGGGGTGGGAGAATGCTACCGAGACTGACAAACGCTCAAGTGAGCTGGAGAACGCCGCCGGGACTGACGAACGCTCAGGGCAGTGGGAGAACGCCGCCGGAACTGACAAACGCTCAGGGGAGTAGGAGAACGCCGCCGGGACTGACGAACGTTCAGGGGAGTGGGAGAACGCCGCCGGGACTGACGAACGCTCTGAGCACGCTCAGGGGAGTGGGAGAACGCCGCCGGGACTGACAAACGCTCAGGGGAGTAGGAGAACGCCGCCGGGACTGACGAACGCTCAGGGGAGTAGGAGAACGCCGCCGGGACTGACGAACGCTCAGGGGAGTGGGAGAACGCCGCCGGGACTGACAAACGCTCAGGGGAGTAGGAGAACGCCGCCGGGACTGACGAATGCTCACTGGAGTAGGAGAACGGCGGCGGGACTGACGAACGCTCACTGAAGTAGGAGAACGGCGGCGGACTGACGAACGCTCGAGTGAACAAGAGTGTGCTGGCGGCGCTGGAGAACGCTCAGGGGAGTAGGAGAACGTCGGCGGGACTGCAGAACGCTCGAGTGAACAGGAGTACGCTGGCGGCGCTGGAGAACGCTGAGGTGTTAGAGAACGCCCAGGTCAGCTGGACAACGCCGACGAGAAAAATACCTTAGCGCTAAGTTATTAACGGTCATTCCATATTTTACGTAAATATTTATTTTCACGCACCGTTTGTGTTTCAGCAGTAATTTTTGCCTTCACTCAGTCACTCTAACATAAACACCGGCGTGAAACGTTGAGGATTCTCGTAACATGAAGCGGTTACTTGGAAGATTGTGATATTGAAGATCTATTATTTCCAGCGTGAGAACTCAACCTCATTTTGTAATAAGGCGTGCAGTGTGAAAGTGCAGTGTGAGATGCAGTGGGAGGGTGCTTTCTGAAAGTGCTGTCTGAAGTGTAGTCGAACGAATGAACGAGCGAGCTATCACACAACTGAGCCTCCGAAGAAATGCATCCACACATACAGATCGGCCTTGCTGTACCTGCAGCGACCCTAGGTGATACCCAGCGATCTATTTTGCGGCCGTCTGGACGTGCCCCGAATCCGGTCCATCCGCCTCCCACCCTCTCGCCCCTGCTGTCCTGAGGTAGCGCATAAGGGCGCTAGGCCTTGTGTGCAAAGCGTCCGCCGGGACTGGCGCTGGGTTATTTCTGCCACACTGCATCCATTCGACTTTCACGTGGGCAGCGTGACATCCCCGAGCGCCTCGAGCTACAGTCTCCTGACCCTAAACAAGCGCGATATATGGGGCTTCTCGCGAACTTCCACAGCGCCGCCGCGTGTGACCGACCGGCGCTTAGAGCTCCATTCATCGTCTGCGGACGCCGGAGGCGGCGGTAATGATCATTACGGTCGCAGCTATGTCGACGAGCAGTGTGTGGCGAGTCGGCCTGGCTGTCGTCGCGGTGAGGTCGGAGTCGCGGGGTCATGTCGCCCGGTTCACGCGTGGTGATTAACGGGACGGCAGCGTGTTCGGCGCTACGCTTTTTAAACAAACCTGGATGGATGGATTTCTGGGGCCAGAGCTCACGGTTGACAGTGCTTGTACGAGCCTTGACCCCCCGTCATTCGATCGCACGTCCCAGGTCAACGGCTGAATTCGGTGGCGAAAGTTGAACGTGCCGCAGTGCTCGGCACGGTCCGTCCTGCCCTCCGGGCCCTGCCATCGGCCTGCTGCCACCAGCCGCGGGCCAGACCTGTCAAGGACAAATAGCGCGCTTTAAGTGACCTGAACCCGCCCCGCCACGGTGGGTGGATGGAAAGGCAGGCGACCTTACCAATTGAGTCACCAGGACGGGACAGAAGGGAAGTTCACTGAAACACGATTGGGTGGCTTGTGTGTAGGTCCTTCTGTCCCAAATTTTGAATCTTGGCCAAGGCGTCCATGGCTCGGAGGAAGTCCACGCCGTCTCACGCGCACACAAGTCACATCTGGGCACTGATCGCCTGAGCCTCTGTTTGTGTATGCGGCTTCCGGGTCAGAGGTGTCCGTAAAGTTTGGAACATAAGGCTTCAAAGGCTGTCAATTCAGAGGTCAAATAGTAGAAGGGTGCACCTGAGCACGAGCGCCCCGTGACCACGGGTTGAAGCTGTCTGATCAGAAACAGCTACTCGTGGACTGACATGCATGTCATTGCTGAGCAGCTGTGACAGACGTGGCATAGTCGGTAGGTTGGCCTAGCCTAGCCTTAGCCGAGCGGCTGTAGGTCAGCGGCAGTGACAGACGGGTGTCAATGTGTGGCGACGCGGCACGTGCGAGGTACATCCCTTCACATGCAGTATTCGATCGACCCACTCCAGTATTCGATCGACCCACTCGACCCATTCGACCCACTCCAGCCACCCATTCGTCCCCGAAGCCCGTCACTGCACCAGACTACGCCGTCTGAGTCGCTGTAATTGGGTTCCGGGGAAGAGGGATGTCAACTCTGGGCACACGCGCCGCGTCAGGTGCCGCCACAGAGCTCCCTGAGTGTGCAACGTTCGATGGTTCGGTTACGGGCTCTCAGCCCACTGTACGTCTGCTCGACCCGGCCCTCGGAGGCCGTCGAGTCCGGACCTGTGCGGGTCACGCCGTTGGCCGCACACGGCTGTCCAACTGCAACTGCAACTGCACGCATCCCGTGATGGCACCCATGCTGTCGTCTCGCAGGGTGGTGCATACTGTGCCGCGCGCCGACGATCGATTTGAACCACCGGCGCCGGTGTTTTCGCCCGCGCTGACGCACCAGGTGGCGCCACTCCTGCCGCGATCCGGGGGCGCGCTTTGGTGCAGCACGCCTGCATGCCTGAACACGCACTCACACACACTGTCGCACACACACGCAGCCAAACATGAGTCCCGAAGCTTTTTTCTGAACCGACCCCTCGTATTAAATCTTGCTTCGCTAAAAGCGTGCAAGGGACGTATTTTACTCCGTAGATTTTGAATAATCCCACGATTGTTATGCCACTGTTGCCGGGGACGCACGGTAGCTCCGTGCACACGATACTCTGTACTTGCATAACGACGCGGTTTTCTTTGATTTCCCTGGATAGTTCGGCGGAAGTACATGCGGCCGTTGGGAGATACGGGCTCGTGTGGTGGCTGCAGACTGGTGACGATGCCCGGCGTTGACGACAGTCCAGGCGGTCTTTCGGTGGAGGAAATGTTCCAGAGCGGAGAGCAACAGCGTGTGCAAACTCTGCACTCAACAAAGCTGAGCACAATGAGAGCCGGGCGGGACTAGGCTTGGGATGGAGAAGAGATGTTTTGATGTTTGAGGACGTCTTAACATGAAGCGGTAATGCTTTGATGTCTGAGAACTTCTCATACACCATGTACATATACCTGGTATCATGCATCACATCGTCCTACCCGCGCATTCTCGGTTTTAGCAGTCCGTATTTGCTCCTTGCAAACATTACGTGCGTTTTTTTTTTTTAAAGCAGAAGACGCTGTCAGTTTGCTGACACTGTACGTATGTTTTATTTAGATTTCACACTTCCGGCTCCCACCCACTTATAACTATACGTTCTCACCAGTTAACGTCAGGAATTTGATTAGATGCTTCACAACCAGTTCCACCAAAAAACTTTATTCTGAAGATTTTTTTACACTCCCACACCCTGATTATTTGTATCAGCATTTATCTTTAGCCGTGACTGGGTGTCTTGGATACCCAAACTGATATTGTGATTGATGTGGTGTTAGGCCCTTGTCTTGGAGATCATATTTTTTGGTCTTTATCAGCAGTTCCAAAAGCAGTGCGACACTTAATCTAAACAACTTGCGTTGTGGCTTAATGCCAGGAAGCCGGAGGTGGCCGAAATGAGACTGTTGCCAAGCTTAAGTCACCAGATAGCTCAAATTAATGCAGACCAGCCGTATGGAAGCCAGATCGACACCGACTGAATCAGGTGCTGACTCAAACTGCCAGGTCTGGGGTAGCCTTACCTGAATACGCGCGGTTATGCTAGAACAGCGCATCACCTTTCCCATCGCCATGGTGATTTATGGTTGCCCAGCTTGTTGCTAGGCTCACGATGGAAATCAGACGTGATGCCTTGTTCCGGCTTTTAAACATATCTTCGATGCTGCCGCTCTGGTTCTAATCCTTCCGCCAAGCGTAATCTTCTTGAGCTGTTCGGAGCTGTGCAATGTCCCCAACAACTTCGTGAGTGAAGTGACATGTTGAAAGGAACTGATCTCAGATCCGGAGCCATTGACGTATTGAGGAACTAAGCGACATTAAATGAAGAAGCTCTTTCTGTCGCGAGCTATCGCAAGGAGTGTTCATCGAACAGACCCCTTCGCAAATCTCTGGCAACATGTTTTCGCATCTGTTGTGCTTTGTGATGCTGTGGCGGTCAGCACCGTTTTGGTGAAGACCACAGCGCCACCCGTGTGGTGTCACTCAGGGGCGTGCTAACGAGTCACTCGCTGGGGATGGCATGTTGGGTATGGTAAGGCCACTTTATGCAGTTACCGAGGTTGCATATGTATTACCTGACGGTCGTACCGCCCAAAAACTAAAACCATCACCATTGTGATGATTATATATATATATATATATATATATATATAATATATATGTGGGTGTGGGTGGGGGGGGGGGGGTGGGGGTGGGGGTGGGGGGTGTGTGGGGGTGTGGGCTGTTACCATACCATTCCTATGCATTTGTAGCAATATATTATATATATATACTATATATATATAATCATATATATATATATATATATAGTGGTATTCAGCTCTGTCCAGTTAGTAAAATCCTAACATTCTGCAATTAGACGTTTCAGTTCTATTTGAGCCTGTAGCAGTACTGGACAACCGGTCTCTCCATGTATATCGTGAGAATAAATTCGGCCATATGGGCGTTGGTTGTGAGACAGCTCCTCCCCTCCTCCGCCTAGAGCACTTCTGAAGTGCGGTGCAGTGCAAGTACAAAAGTCCCTGCACTTTTTGCACAATACAACACTGCGTTTTGTGAATCTGCACGAAAGAACGACTGGGGGGAATAACTGAAAACAAAAAAACACTGTGCCGTCGACGGAACCAGTTGGAACTGTGCCAAGAAACTGTGTGCCAGCTCCCTTCCTGTGACGGGTCTCGGGCCTTTAGCGGCGAGAG